GTAGACTTCTGAGGTTTGACTGCAGCACAAAACATCAGTACTGAACATTCCCATTTAACCCATCATCAACCCCTGGGGTTTTTACAAAGATAATAGTAGTTGCAGGGAACCTACCTGAATGACATCTTGAATAACACTCCATTGCAGTCAGCAGAGCACCAAGCCATGTCTCAGATGTTGAATCTCCTGCAGGTGCATGGCTTCATCAGTGTCCAAAAAAGTTTCTTGATTCCATCCACCAGACTCATCTGGGCACAGAAATAAACACTTAAGAGAGGTTCCAGAAAATCCAGGATTCTGTCATCTTGCTCCAGAGCTGCAGAAAGCCTACTATAGCACTATGTCTTAAACTGTTGGGCCTCCGATGTCATGAATAGGGATTGCTCCATGGCCACAGTCACGTAGCGGATGCCTTCAAGCCTTTATTCTAAAGGGGTGGGACAACTCCCTGGACCACATGAAAGATCAAATATGGGTTCTAACACAGATGATCAACTCCCTACAGTCGTGATCAGCCCACAATACTGACCGCAAAGGTATGCCCATCTGCCTTCTAGATCCTCTAGTTCAGTTGCTCTCAACCTTTCCAGACTACTGTATCCCTTTCAGGAGTCCCCCAAGTTTCACCTCACTTAGAAACTACTTGCTTACACTTCTGTATTTTTAGGTCTGATTTTGTAACAACTACTATTACTAAAAAATTGTTTACTTTCTCGTTTTACCATATAATTATAAAATTGGAATATAAAAATTGTACTTACATTTCAGTGTACAGTATATAGAGCAGTATAAACAAGTCACAGTCTACAAAATTGTAGTTTATACTGATTTCACTGGTGCATTTTATGTAGCCTGTTGTAAAACTAGGCAAATACCTAGATGAGTTGATGTACCTCCTGGAAGACCTCTGCATACCCCAGGGGTACACGTAGCCCTGGTTGAGAACCACTATTCTAGTTCTCACACCTGACACCAGCACACTTGAACCCAAACAGCTCAGAGCATAAACCTTCTAGAGCTGAGTATGGGCAAGCTGACTCTGAGTTCCAGTCTGCCCTACAGGAGAAAAGTGTCCCAAGTTCAGTCAGACAACATAACTTTGGGTGTATATTTTAAGCAACCAAGGCAAAACAAAGTCAGGTGCTACATGTGGAAGCAATGGAAATAATGAGGCGCAGGGAACAATTTCTCTTAACTTCAGAATGATCTCTCAAAAGGGGATCTGAACTGAAAGGTGAACTGGCTCAGCAGGGTCAACAGCTCCTAGTGGTCTCTGAATCAGGAGGTTTTTGATCTCCTCATTCAAACGTTCAGCCTCCATGCAGTGGACCTGTTTACGAATTATATGAATGCAAAGACGCTGAAATACTTCACCAGGGAGACAGACTCTGGATCCATGGGGACAAATGTCTTATCACACAATTGGCCAAAGAGCCTAGTGCTGGGGTTCTCAAACTGGGGGTTGTGACCACTCAGGGGGTCATGAGTACAGTAACTCCTCACTTAACATTGTAGTTATGTTCCTGAAAAATGTGACATTAAGTGAAACGATGTTAAGCGAATCCAGTTTCTCCATAAGAATTAATGTAAATGAGGGGGTTAGGTTCCAGGGAAACTTTTTTCACCAGGCAAAAGACTTATACACACACACACACACACACACACTATAAGTTTTAAACAATTTTAATACTGGTACACAGTGATGATGAGTGTGAAGCTTGGTTGAGGTGGAGGAGTCAGAGGGTGGGATATTTCCCTTACTGCTAAATGATGAACTAGCAATTGGCTGAGCCCTCAAGGGTTAACGCTCTCACTCTACAAGGCAGCAGGAATGGCGGGAGGGGGTATGTGTGTGAGAGAGAGATGCACATTTCCCCTTTAAGTACACTGCCTTGTTAATTAGATCGGCTTGCTGAGACAACAGCTGCTGCAAGCTCCCTCCATCCTGAGCCCTGGTGTGTCCCCCCCCCCGGCTCTATGGAAGATGGGGTAAGCGGGGTGCTGGAGCAGGGCGGAGGGGGACACCCTAACATTAGCCCCCTCTTCCTTCCCTCCCCCCACACAGCAAGCAGGAGTCTTGGGGAGCAACTCCAAGGCCGAGGGCAGGAGCAGCACATGGCAGTGGTGGGAGGGACAGCTGAACTGCAGGCAGCTGCTGCACAGGGAGCTTAGGGGAGCGGGGAGCTGATAGGGGGCTGCCGGTCCACCCTGGTTCCAAGCCCCCACCAGCTAGCTGCAACAGGCTGCTCTTCCTGCAAGCAGTAGACAAAGCAGGCGGCTGCCAAACGACGTTGGAAGGGAGCATTGCACAAATTTAAACGAGCGTGTTCCCTAATTGATCAGCAACGAAACAACATTAACTGGTATGACTTTAAGTGAGGAGTTACTGTACATGCTTACTCCTCTGTCTGGTCCAGATTCAACTACTGGTGTCAAGAGCACAAGACAAATCCAGGAATCCCAACCATTTTGGATCTTCTCCAAGAAGGCATAGATAGCCCAGTACCATTACATGCCAGATCAGTAGCATGCTATTCACAGGATCCTTTTGCTTCCTGGCAGATAGCCCCCAGGTAGCCAGATTCCTTCAAGCAGTCCAGTTAGCCAGCCCAGCGGTCAGCCCATTCTTTCCAAAATGGGACCTACTACTGGTGTTGAGGGCCTTGACCAGCCCATCTCTTTGACATCCGTGTCAGCAGTTTCTTATCCATTAAGATTTTGTTTCTTAATAGCTGCCACGTCTGCCAGGCAAGTTTCAAAGCTGGCAGAGTTATCTCTTCAGGTTCCTTAAAGCATGCTCCATGAGGCCAAGGTAGTGCTCAGGACTCCAGAAAATCCATTCTTCCTGAGGTAAATTCCTCCTTCCATACTTCCCAAGTGTTTTGTGCTTCGTTTCCTCTATCCAAAATCTCAGTATCCAGCTGAAAAAATGTAGCACACCTTAGATGTCAGTGTGTTGAAAATCTGTCTCCAGCTTACAAAATCCACAGAAATATTGGGCTACCTGTGTCCTCCTTCCACCCAAAATGCCAGAGACTTAGACGTTCCAAGTCCTCTATTGCTGGGTGGAAGCCTATAAAGCATTTTAAGTTCCTATTCTAGAAGGGATTAAGGTGCACTCCACAAGATCCCTAGCAACTTCAAGGGCAGAATGAGCAAGTGAGTCCGCTTTGGAAATTTGCAAAGGTCTATAAGGCAACACCTTCATGAATCACTATGAGGTGGACTTTGTCTTCTAAAGAGGTCTCATTGGAAGGAAGGTGCTGCAGGTGGTAGCCCAGAAATAAGGTAGCCTTTTGAGTGAGCTTTCAAAAAGGAGGGTGAATATTCCCTTCTTTCCTACCAAATTGTATCCATAACCCTCCCTACAGCTGTTCACTGCTCACTACATCCCAGATGTCCAGAATTGTGGGAGATGCTGAACGGCAGAATGAAAAACTTCTTACCATTAGTTTTCTTTTTGCTGGCAGCATCTTCCACAATTCTATCTGCCCTAGATGGCTCGTGAGCCTGAAGTCAGATATTCAGCCATCTTTATTGGTCTAATGTATGTAGTTATTTTGTTAATTCTGAAAAATCTTATGCAAGTGCAAGTTTTACAGCTTTGCAATAAATCATCGGACAGTAAGTGGGAGCAGAGGGGACATGGCCAGAGCACATGGCACCAAAATGCTGATCCACCTCCTTGAGCTGCAGAGTTGAGGTGAGCCACCCAAATGTCCAGTATTGTGGGAGGTGCTGCTGGAACAAAGGAAATTATCAGCAAGAGATCTCTGTTCTACAAGCAGTATGGGCCTGGGAGCACAGTACAAGAATGTAAAAACAGTTGTTGTATTTTAAACCGTTATTGTTGCTAACTATTTTATAGGGCTTGAATTGCTTCAAAGATGTCTGGCAACTGATTTTAGAACCTTAAGTCAGAGTGGTGATATGCTCCTGTACTCTTACTTTCATAGGGAATAGTTGCTGCCAACAGTGACAGTTAAAACATTTAGGACAATTTTTAATTGTGAGGTGCTAAAAATAAGGCACCCCGATTTTTTTCATAGGGTCTATAGTCAATGGAAAGTTAGCAGACTTGAAAAGGAAGCCACTGACTTGGGTGCCTAACTTCTGCGACTTGAAGTTGAAAGTTTTGACCCTTAGGTCTGATGTGTATTTGGGAGACAAAAATACATAGGCATTTCCTGTCCATCTGCTCTCAGAATGTTGCACTCAAAGTCAATCAGAACTTAAGCTTCTACGTGAATTAAACGCTCCTGAAAATTGTATCCACCATGTTCTGGATCAGTCATACCTAAGATCCTGACTGTTCGTCGTCACTCAAGGTTTTTTTGCATGCGGGTGAGGATGGTAGCCCTGCTGGGAAAATTCCAATATGGATAATTACTTTTGCATCCTGAATTCCACTTTTTAATTGTATACGGTGGTGCAGCAGATCTGTTGTCACACAAGAGATGGCGATACTACAGCTTTTGGTAGAGACACTAGTCTGATTTCCTGGGTGTGCTCTCATCAGTAAAGTATTTTGGAATTCATGGAGGAAAAAAAAACATTATGCTATGCTATGCTAGATGTGTGGGACTAGTGTCATGAATTGCCATAAGAGCGGATCTACAAGTGATACAGCTTTCTATATTGTCATTAGCTGGGACCGCACTTTTTTTTTTTAAGCCACAGCTGCATTATTCACACTGTAGCTATTTGCTCACTTGCCATTCTAATAACCTAGAAAACAAAATGGCCTTGGATACTACTGCTAAGACCATAATGTTGAAGAGGGGTTGTGGGTCAGGCTAGAAAGGCATTAGCAGAGCAGAGTAGAAAAGCTCTCACTGTATGTGCTGTGTTGTGCATGAGACAATACTACTCCCTCAACTGTGGGATTCATACAAATGCTTTTTAAAAATACATTTTGGTACCATTACAGCTATGTCGGAGTGTGTAGTTTATTATGCCTTAACTCAAACTGTTGCTTTTTTTTCTTTCTTTCTCCCCAGGTCCCAAAACAGTGTTTTTCTGGGCACCTGTTATGAAATGGGTAAGCATAAGAAGTCACTTTGCTGATATTGTTAACGTTTCTGCAGGTCAGGGAATGATTTTCAGCTACCCAGGAGGAAAGTGACCAGTTCTTGGCTGTGCCATCAAAGAATTTGCTATTAAGGTCCTGATTATGTTTTTAAAATGTGGAGAGTGTCAGAATGACTATACCTTCACTCTAATGGTAGAGAACACACGTGACAACAGTTTGATTCTTGGAGGTCAGCAAGAGATACTTTCACTGAAGAGCCCTCTGCTGTGGAACAACTATTGCCAGGCCCAATGCAAAACTCCTCTTAAAGCAGTCCACCCCCAATGGAGTAGCATAACAATCCAGCAGTGTTATGTTGTTGTTTTTTTCTTTCTTGGATGTCAGTTGCTAAAAATGACTTCTTGAGATTACAGCCTAATAGGGGGAGAACTGCAAGGTCACTTTGAACAGACATGCTACAACTGGTGCCTCAGCACAACAATTGTAGTGAATCTAGGACAGAGTTGAGTTTCTGAGGCTCCTAGTTTATTCATACCAGGATGTACTTATACTTCTGCATTAGCTTTGTTTAAACATATTATAGTATACAATCTCTTTTAAAAAAACACTGCCTAGGTAACAAGTGAAAGTTGAGTATCAGAGGGGTAGCCGTGTTAGTCTGAATCTGTAAAAAGCAACAGAGGGTCCTGTGGCACCTTTGAGACTAACAGAAGTATTGGGAGCATAAGCTTTCGTGGGTAAGAACCTCACTTCTTCAGATGCAAGTGAAAGTTGATTACCATTCTGGTAAATGGGAACGCCTTGATTTTAGTGCAGTTCAACTTCCCTATAACAGTCCTTCTGTTATGAAATTTAGTGGTTTGAGTCTACATGTCAGGTTTACATTCAGGGCTGTTCACTCTTGGACCTCATCCATGTCAGCCTTTTAGTCTACTGTTGGCATTGGCTTTATGTCAAAAATGAACTAACTAGTATTTGTAGAAAGGTATCTTTTGAAAATATTTACCAGCTTTCAGGCATTTTATGTCCAACAGTCAGATTACTCTTCCTCTCCTCATCCTTTGCTTTAGCTTTGGGTTTTTGTTTTTCCAGTAGATCTTTCTCTGTTTTATGCATAGCAGCAGTTTAGCTGATGTAGCATTACCAGTAGGCCTGGGCACTATAATGCCATACCTGGCTTCCTGTGCCTCCACAACATTGCCCTCAAGCTGAAATTGGAATTGTATGTAGCCTTCTGATAACATAACTTCCATAAAATAGCTTTTTCCCTGTATGGCAGTGAGGCGCTTGCTATGTTAATCTATATTAACTAGTGTTGAAACTGTATATTTTCCTAGATAAAGTCCTGCATGGCTCTCCTAACATATTAGGCAACATAACCCAAATACATGATGCACTGAGAATACAACACAAGGCCTCTGGCTTCAAAAACATACAACATACAAGCCTCTATTACTCAAGCCAAAGGAGTCCTTACTGACAGTAATACTAAGGTTTCGTCATCCTTTAGTGGCTAGAAGCTTCCAGTTGGATACTAAACAAGACTGATACTGTCCAGCAGAGGGCAGTGATACCACATAGGTAAAATAGTAAGACATTAGCCAGTATGTTAATCTTCTTTTTAGATAGTTTTAATAATCAGCGGCCCATCAATGTTTGTTTCTCACTTTTCTTGAAGATGTGAGTTCTAACTATTCTTTAAATAATTATTTTTCCAGCATTTCATTTACCTTTAAATTAAATTTTAAATTAATGGCGATATTCTATCTCCTAGAACTGGAAGGTACCTTGAAAGGTCATCGAGTCCAGCCCCCTGCGTTCACTAGCAGGACCAAGTACTGATTTTTGCCCCAGATGCCTAAGTGACCCCCTCAAGGATTGAACTCACAACCCTGGGTTTAGCAGGCCAATGCTCAAACCACTGAGCTATCCCTCCCCCCTTTGTATAAAGCTTAAGGCATCTGATGCCACACATGCAAGTGACACAGTCCGCTTTTTCAAAAGTACATCTTCAAAAACTAGGTTTATATTTAGACTGATTCCCATGTATGACCCATGGAAACCAATTTCTATCTTTGAATTTGAAAAATGGATGCCACTACTAGGCTAAAACAATGTTAAACTAACACATGGTTGAGCCTTGTGATAGTTGGTGTATGTCTTAAACCCCTGGAGCTGGGGGGTTATGTGACTTAATAGCTTTCATCTTAAAATTTAAAGTTTCTAGCCCTCATTGTTCCAGAAAGAAGCTTAAACATGAAGCCTAAAGGCTCAAAAACCAGAAGGTGAATAAAAACCCTAACCTATTTGTTTTAAACAAATCTCATGATTTTTGGGGAGCTGACTCAGTGTTGCTGAATGCTTGGCAATACTGCAGGTAATCTAATTGATCAAACCCAGCATTTTGCAGAAACGTTGATGTCATAGCTGAATCTAGCTACATACTTAGCATCAGTGAACTGGTGCAGTAACTGCCATTGTAAGTAAATTGTTGTATAGGACCAGAAGTAAACTATAGGGCCAGCATTTGTGGGACTAAGAACTCTGCCATATGTCCTACATTAAATATTTAAACTTCGTGAGAGAAGGGCAAAAACACTGCCATACTGTACTATTGCAATATTCTAATAAAGATTGCAGCTCCATTTCCTGAACTGGGAACACAGGACTTGCAATGCCAGATCAGACCAAGCATCCATCTTGTCCAGTATCATCAAAGTCCAGCACTGGACACAAGAAACTGCACAGTGAAGAACTATGGAATACCCGGCTCATAGGAGAGAAATATTATCCTATTCCTTGTCAGTTATTGGCTGCCTTATGCCCCAAAGTGTAAGTTTTCTCCCTGATATGCTAATTCTGTAAATGCTGATATTCTGTTTTATTAAATGTCTCATCCTCTTTCAATCCTACTAAGCATTTAGTCTTACTGATACTTGTGGTAGTGAGTTCCACAGGTTAGTGGTGGAAAAGGTAGACAAGTCACTGTCTTTTTGTATAACAAGAAGGTAATTAAGAGCACCCAATCATAGAAGATTAGGGTTGGAAGAGACCTCAGGAGGCCATCTAGGCCAGGTCTACACTAACACCCCAATTCGATCTAAGGTACGCAACTTCAGCTACGTGAATAACGTAGCTGAAGTCGACATACCTTAGTTCGAATTTACCGCGGTTCAGACGCGGTCCACACGCGGCAGGCAGGCTCCCCCGTCGACTCCGCGGTACTCCTCTCGCTGAGGTGGAGTACCGCAGTCGACGGCGAGCACTTCCTGGTTCGAATTATCGCGTCCAGACCAGACGCGATAAATCGAACTCGGAAGTTCGATTGCCAGCCGTCGAACTACCGCGGTAGTGTAGACCTGGCCCTAGTCCAATTGACCTTTATGCCATTCATTTTTCTACACCTTTGTGTCTCCTCTTTAAACACTCTCTTAATCTTTTTACTTTCTCTTCATGTGGAAGTCTTTCCATGCCTATAAACATTTGCATCGTTCATCTTTAGACTTTGCTTCTCCTATTGAAATAGTGAGACTAAAACTGAACACAATATTTGGAGCTAAACTGCATCATCAGCCAAAATTCTCCTTGATCAGGACATGAGACCAGGTTCTTTTCCAGGGTTGGTGCAGTAAACTTCAAATGTGGTAATGAATATTAGGGTATGTCTACACTACGAGGGTAGTTCGATTTTACTTAAATCGAATATGTGGAATCGATATTGCAAAGTCGAACGTGTGTGTCCACACTAAGGAGAGTAATTCGACTTTGTGAGTCCACACTAACGGGGCGAGCATCGATATTGGAAGCGGTGCACTGTGGGCAGCTATCCCACAGTTCCCGCAGTCCCCGCTGCCCATCGGAATTCTGGGTCGAGCCGCCAATGCCTTCTGGGTAAAAAAATGTGTCGTCATCCGTCCGTCACTAACGCCCTCCCTCCCTCCATGAAAGCGCCGGCGGGAAATCAGTTCGCGCACTTTTCTGGTCAGTGACAGCGCGGACGCCACAGCACTGCGATCATGGATCACGCTGCGACCATCGCTGCAGTTGTGGCCGTTCTCAACACCTCGCAGCTTATCATACACCTTTCCCTGAGGCAGATGCAGAGAAATCAGGCGAGGAGGCTACGACACCGCCATGATGGCCTGAAGTCGGAGAGTAGCACAGAGCTGTCAGAAACCACGAGCCCCAGCGCCCAGGACATCACGGTGGCAATGGGTCATGTGGATATTGTGGAACGGCGATTCTGGGCCCGGGAAACAAGCACGGACTGGTGGGACCGCATAGTGCTTCAGGTCTGGGATGAATCCCAGTGGCTGCGAAACTTTCGCATGCGGAAGGGGACTTTCCTCGAACTCTGTGAGTTGCTGTCCCCTGCCCTGAAGCGCCAGAATATCAGGATGAGAGCAGCCCTCACAGTTGAGAAGCGAGTGGCCATAGCCCTCTGGAAGCTTGCAACGCCGGACAGCTACCGGTCAGTCGCGAACCACTTTGGTGTGGGCAAATCTACCGTGGGGGTTGTTGTGATGCAAGTAGCCAACGCAATCGTTAAGGTACTGCTCTCAAAGGTAGTGACCCTGGGAAACGCGCAGGTCATCATAGATGGCTTTGCCGCGATGGGATTCCCAAACTGCGGTGGGGCTATCGATGGGACTCACATCCCTATCCTGGGACCGGACCACCAGGCCAGCCAGTACATCAACAGAAAGGGCTACTTTTCAATGGTGCTGCAAGCACTGGTGGACCATCGGGGACGTTTTACAAACATCAACGTCGGATGGCCGGGCAAGGTTCATGACGCTCGCGTGTTCAGGAACTCTGGTCTGTTTAGACGGCTGCAGGAAGGTATTTTCTTCCCGGACCACAAGATAACTGTTGGGGATGTGGAGATGCCTACAGTCATCCTCGGGGACCCAGCCTACCCGCTAATGCCCTGGCTCATGAAGCCCTATACTGGCGCCCTGGACACAGAAAAAGAACTGTTCAACTACCGTCTGAGCAAGTGCAGAATGGTAGTGGAGTGTGCTTTTGGCCGTCTCAAAGGGAGATGGAGAAGCTTACTGACTCGCTGTGATCTCAGCGAAACCAATATCCCCATTGTTATAGCAGCTTGCTGTGTGCTCCACAATCTCTGTGAGAGCAAGGGGGAGACCTTTATGGCGGGGTGGGAGGTTGAGGCAAATAGCCTGGCTGCTGATTACGCCCAGCCAGACAGCCGGGCGATTAGAAGATCCCAGCGGGATGCCCTGTGCATCCGGGAGGCTTTGAAAGCAAGATTCCAGACTGAGCAGGCTAACCGGTGACTGTTTAAGTTTGTGGACACAGATGCTGAACCTGCCCCCGTTTCTTTACCCAGTTCATTTTGACTATCCTCTCCAGTTACATACCCCCTTCACCCCCTTCCCCTTCCCAAAAAATAAAATCAGTTCTATTTAGTTAATGAACACCGTTGTCTGTATTGCTGTTTTCGCGGGAATGTTTTAAACCGGGGACGCAGACTGTGGCGGGGGGCGGGTTTAGTGTTCTGATGCAAATGATGCTTCTAAACTCCCGGAATGACAGGCTCCGCACTGGTGCACTGGTTATTTCAATGGAGCCTGCCAGCACTCCTGGGGGGGACTGCGTGTATGTGTCGGCTATGTGACTTTCTGGCAGGGGGGGTAGGGTTACAGATCCCCTGCTGCGTGGATCTGTGAGCCAGGATAAGGACCGCTGCATAAGATCTGTAACTGCCCTCCCCCGCCACAAAGTCACAGAGCAACCCCCCCCCCGCCCCCGAACATGAAAACCACCTCCAAGACTGACCAGGGTAACCAGTGACTGCACTGTGTATGTGTCCTGATGCTGGACCTGACCCCGCCTCTGTACCTTGCTAAAGGTGACTGTCCTGTCCAATTACCAAGCCCCTTCCCCCCCTTCAGACAGACTCTCCTCCAAAAGAACATGATGGAAACAGTAATGAACAGAAACAAATATTTTATTGTGAACCACACATGAAACATGGGGGGTGAAACTTGGACGGGGGCTTGTGTGAGTTGGGTAGGAAAGGACTTATCAAATTTTGGGGAATGAGAGCCTTCTAGTGCTAGAGCAGTCTGCAGGGGTTGACTGAAAGTTTTAACGGCCCTTGCCGCCCCTCCTTCTTTGGA